TGCAAGAAATCAACAGTAATTCAGCAAATTCTGCAAATTCAGCAAAAATTCTGCGATTACCATTTAGACCCTAGATCTACCAGTTATAAGGTTTACGTTTAAAAGGGAAAAAACATCATTTTTTGGTTAAAAAGCAAAAAATGATTTTTTGTGCTTCGATGTAAATGCATTTATATTTTTTTGGTTTATACTTCTATTTTTTTTTATGTGTGTTTTCAACTTATAACTTAGATATCTAAAAAAACAAAAAATGTCATTTAATAGGCATGAAATATACTTATGGTTATAGTGGATTAATAATAACGTATTTTACTTATAAATCATTAAAAATTTTGATTTTGATACATGAATAGTTTGTGGGATAGGTTGAAAGAAAAAAAAATACTTAGTCAAGTTTTTGTTGAAATAATTGGGTTTTATAATGAAGGCACGGAAATGAAGATGATTGTCGATGTAAATATCTCTGAAGTGCTCAATGCGTTGCCTCAATTATGGAAGTTTTTTTTTGTTATTTATAAGTTATATGGAATATGTGAAAAAGGAAAAAAAATCTTTCATTTTTTTTGTGGGTTAAACAAAACAAAAAGAGAAAGTGACTTCTTTATACCTTGATATTTTTTGTGTATATGTTATTATGTGTGTTTTCAACTTATAACTAAAACATATAAAAAAAGTATTCTAACATGTATAAAATATGCTTATGGTTATAGTTGATTGGCAATAAAACATTTCATTTACGAAATCTTTAGAAAAATTAGAGATGATTTTGAGGCATAAAAGAGTTTTTAGGGTTGTTTCAAAAAAAACAAATATGCTTACTGAACAAATTTTGAAGTCAAGTTTTTATTAAAACAGACTGGAGTATGTAAATGAAGGCATGAGGACACAAATAGTCGTTGATGTAGACTTGCATGAAATGATCAATGCATTATGTCGACTAGTAATTTTTAATGTTGTTCTTTATATATATTTTTCATGGGTTAAAAAAAAAACAAAAAATGTCTT